ATCGAGGGGTATGTTTGGCTACCCTGAAGTGGCACGAGCAAGAGATGAACTCGGATAGATGTGTGACAATGAGTAAAAATGACAATTTTCGTGTAGCTTCATACGAGTCATTTCACGGGTAACACCAGTTATATAAAAGTTTATGGAATGCGAGGTCCGTTGGTTTTGCTACCTGAAAGGAATATCCAACAAGTACTTTAGAAATGCGGTATAAGTACTAATACTGCCGGAAACGAAAAGAAGGGCAAGGTCAAAGAAATGGTTGCGTAATGTGGTAAAGAACGAAATGAGACTGAGGAATGGCCGAAAACTGTGGAAGCAGTTGACTGGAATGGCCGATCCTGTTAAACGGCGCGCTAAGTAAAAGAGGCTGAAGAAGATTCTTCGCATTCGACTGCTGTGTTCTTTTCTTCTTTTTCGCTTCTTGTTTCGATCATTTTCACGGGCATTACAACGTCAATTTGCGCTTTAGATTTTGTCTTCTTTAGATGAGGATTATAGAAAGAGCGTGTATGTCATCAAGATGACCAGTGAAAATGGCTATTCAGTGATATATTAAATTCTGCAGATTTTCTATTTCGAAATATGCATTTGACTTGGTATTGTGGTAGTGTGTATTCTGAATATAATAGCTTTTTTCTTTCTCTGATGATATTTAGATTGTAAATCGCTAGGTACTGTTTAGATCAGTGGTTCGGTTCGGCTGAGTATGGATAAAGCCCAAAGCAGCCAGTTGCTTGGAAAAGTCGTGAAAGTTCGGGCCAGAGACAGAAATGCGGATCGTTTTAAGAAAAATTTTCATAATTTTCATAAAGTAGGTGCGAAAGCACAGAAACTGAAGGATATCCAAAGAACTATTGATCATCAGCGGATACTCGAGAACAAAGTTCCCATTAAAGGTATAAAGATCAAGGGCACGGTATCGAAAAGGACTAATCGTTTTGGAAAGGCCGAAATGAAAAGCGTTGGTAAAAGAATGAATCTCGTCACTGAAACCAAAACGATGCGAAGCAAATTTAAAAGAAAAACAGTGTCTTTTGTTGTAAAGGATAAGTCCTTGGAATTGGGCAAAACCAGAAAACAGATCAAAGAAGTTCAGCATTATTACCCTCCCACTACTACCTCTTCTGCAGTTGGTGACGATATTCCAAAAATTCCTCGCAGAAAGAAG